TTTTTTTTTCTTTTTTTTTTTTTTAAGGTGTCTTGGTGTGAGATTTAATGATCTAACTCAGCTTGCTCACGCTGAAGCCAGAGTATTTTACTTAATTCAAGGGGATTCATTTGCTCTAAATGTAGGTGGTTTGAAATTTCGTGGGGTTTGTTGTACAGATAACAAGTTAAAATGAAATTTTTCTTGGTAGTTCTAATAAATTACCTAGGTGGGGAAAAGCCCAATTTGCTGAGCTTTGGGTGTTAAATCACATATGGCACTAAAAAGTGAGGTGGGATAAATCAATTTTGAGTTGATGCTGTTTAGGAGAAAGGGGAAATGTGTGTATCCAAAGCTGGTACACTGCAGAGGGCTGTCACACTGCAGCTGGTGGGCAGAGCCGTCCCCGAGGCTCAGTCACTTTTTCCTTGGGCTTCTTAGCAAAGGCTGTCAGCTCCTGGAGGCGGAGTGGGCAACCTGAATAACTCCCTCTGTTCCCAAGCATGCTGTTTCCTTCCTCCTCCTCCTCCTTCTGCTCTACCCAACATTTATAGGACCTGGAACGTTTGGGTAGTGCAGAAACCCTTCCTCATTTAGCTGCTCCTCGTGGACCAGCTCGCTGAAGGTTGGGAGAGTGTTGGAGCGGGGAGTGATGGAGCAGGAGTGCATCAGCACATCGGGGTGGGGTGGTGGCTCTTGGGAAGGGAGGTCCTGGTGCTGTCCTGCCAGCTGGTCTGAGATGGCAGGAAGATGATTCAGGGAGCTAAACCAAAGTGGAGATGAGATAATGCTCTTTTCATAGTGACTCTGCCCTCAGCTGCAAGGGTGGAGAGGAGAAGTTCACGGTCCAGTAAATAAGTGGGGCAGGATCTGAGCTGTGTTTGGAAGGACACAGGAGCTTGGCACCATGGGAATGCATGGCAAACAGCATTTTGTCATCTTCTAGAATGTGAAACCTTATTTGGGGGCAAACTTAGGTAGGAGTGAGTTAATCTGGAGATGAGGGTTAAGTTACAGTGCCAGACCAGGCCTGTGAGCTGTACATTGAGGACCACTGGTTTCTGGAGAAGCAGCGACAAACGTGAAGCTTTGGGAAGGGACAGGAGGCTCACTGCCAGGGCTGCAGAAACCCTGGCTGCTCTGGTGCCTGTGCCTCCCCATCCTGGCTCAGTTGGGTGCTTCAGTGAGCCCACAGGCTGCTCTCTGGTCCAGGGTGACCCATATCCATCCTGGTGAGGTCTCCAGGCCGTGCCAGCTGTGTGCCAGGCTGTTGTGTCATTCTGGTGTTGGGGACAGCCCTGCTCCCATGCTGGGAAGCCACTGTTGAACTGTGCCCTCCCCTCTGTTTGCAGTTAGAGGTGATGGTTTATTTTTCTACCTGTGCACAACATTCCAGAGGTTGTGGGGCTGAAACTGGGAGTTGCTGGACTCCTGTGCCCACAGCTCTGTGCTGAGGGGTTCCTTTCATAAAAGGACTTGTCCTCTGTGACAAACGAGGCACACAGCTAGAGTTGTGTCATGTGCAGAAATGCTTCATTCTTACTAATTATGTGCAGAAGTAGCAGGCACAGGTTTCTGGGTGCCCCTGTGTGTGCAGCATGCTTCCTGGGGCAGGCATCCATTGGAATGGCCGGGATGACCTCCCCCTGACACAGGTCTGTTATCTTCCTTGTTTCCCTTGATCCATGAGCAATAACATACTTCAGAGCTGACAAGGAGGTCAAGTGCTGCATGAAGATAACTGGAGGATGACTTTAGGTGAAGAGGTCTGGGTGGAAGTAGGAGAAATGTGGCCTTTGCCATGCTGTGTCTTTCTACTGGGCTGGAGAAATGGCGAGTGAAAGTGAAATGTACATTTTCCTGATCCATGAAAACCATGTCTGTCTCTATTCAACCTTGAATATTATTTATATTAATAACTCCTCTTTTAGTTTAACATGCTCAGGCAGTGGCATCTCTTACTTCAAAATAATTCTGGCTATTTGATCCACAAGTGATGGAGGTACATCCTTCCAATCTAGGAACAGTGAAGAGTTGTTCTAAGCAGAGCTCATCGTGTAGTCTAGGACACTAAAATGGAGTCACACCTAACAAAGATGCTCCTCTTTCAGATCCCAAAAGGACCCCAGTGACTGGTATTTGCTGTCAAAATGTCCCAAATTAGCTGTCAAAATAACCCCTCAGGGTTATTGAAGAGATGGCAAAGGGGAAGAGTCATGTTTTTCCATCCCTAGGGCTTTTTTAATACAATATTAGAGGCAGAGTTTCTCCATGGGATTTCTAAAGACCAGAAGCTACAAGCTGTGGTCTTGCCCTCTTCTCTGTATTTAATAAGGGGCTTCTGTAGTGTCACCATCTGCAGAAGAAAAAGAAAGAAGCATTTTTGGGTTATGTTGTGTAGCTGGGTCTCTTCCCCTGTGTTCCCAGATCTAGCAGTGAGCAAGATGTTTCTGCCATCCCTTCAGACACAGAAGTTGAGAAGCTTCATTCAGATGCCCAAGTGTTGTTGCTGAACAATCCTACTCCAGTTACAGACAATATTTTTCCTTTATTTCCCCCAGTCAGAGAACTTTGGTCTTTGTGGCTCGCTCTGTGTACTCAGTGCTTTGCAGTTGATCTTACCACTCCACAAGCCTGCAAAAGCCAAACTGGTAGGTCAAAAGAGGAGTAGCTGTTGACACTGGCAGCGAGGAACATGTAAGGAGAAAGATAAACAGAGGGAAATCAGAGCCTGGATAAAGTAGATCTCCAAAGATAAAGTTTAGTTAAAGATAATGAGCTGGCCTTGTTTAAAAAGACAGCTGCAAAATAACCCAGTAGCTCCATGTGCTGGGGTTAAAGTTGACCCAGAATATACGTTTCATTGCTTTTGATAAATAAATAGTGGAGGGAAGATTTGGCAAAAAGCAACATTGCCCCCAGCCCTCTTCAGCAAAGTGTTTGATGTTAACAAGTTCTCTGGGTGTTTACTTTGTCCTCTGCCTGCGCTGGTGGAGCGGCGCTCCTGCCCTTGAACCGAGGGAGAATTCAAATAAACCAACCCCTTCGGCACAGCTGGGCTCTTCTGCCATCTGTGGCTTCCCAGAGCAGCCCCGGCTCGCCTGGGGAACCAGCCTGGGCCACGGGATCGCTGGGTCTTCCCAACAGCTGAAAGAAATTTGGCGGATCAGATAAAACTGCCCAGAAACGGGAGCAGAACTCGACAGCGTTTCTTGCTGCCCCCTCAAGCTGTCAGTGTAACCCAGAGTGCAGTTTGTGGGCAAACAGCTCCATAAAATCCAGAGTGATTATTTAATTATGATTGGAGGCTTTTCCCGATGCTTCATTTGCATATATACTTTACAGTGATGCTGTGATGATAAAATATGGTTATTTTAAAATAAACCACAGGAATAATTTTGCTGTTGATATCTGGATCCAGCTTGGAAAGCAACTGGCTCTGTGAACACTCAATAAACTGGGGCTTATTCCTACCAAGCATGTGTATTGCTGCACTTGTTTCTGTGCTGAGTAAGACAGCAAAATTCCCAGTTATTGTGTGTGTGTTGGATACATGTTTATATACACAGCTGATAGATGAGATGTTTAAAGCCTACGTTGAGTGTTATCAGCGGTGGAATTGTATGGCCAGGCTGATAAATGAAGTAACTGTGCTAAATGAGCTCAGATCTTATCCATCATGGCATTACACAAGGCCAGTTGGACATTTGCATGAATGACAGCTGTGGATTTATTGTTTTCTTGGAGAAACCAGTGTTTGATTGAGACTCAGAGTGTCAGAAACACCGTTCCTGAGACTCACCTCCGGCAAGTTCTGTTGCTGGTTCCATGATTTAGTTTGTATCTTGCTGGTTTAACAATTTATTGTAGAGTGATTTAGGTTGGCAACGACCTCTGGGATCATACTTAGTTTGTGTTTTGCTGGTTTAATGATGTATTTTTTATTTTTGATGATGAAAGTGAGATCTCACACAGCTGAATGGTCGAGTGTGATACGGCCAAGGAAAGAACTGCTCTCTCTAGAAGCAGCTATGGAGATAAAAGTGGATATAATGCATGCCACAAAAGGATATAGGAGGAAGCACCATTTTTTTGGGAATATAAATGAGAGTGAGACTAATGTTGGTGTTTTTTCCTTGCTGTGGTTTGCCTGTAAAGCCCAGCAGAAGCAGCCAGCAGATGACAGGTTCCAGTGAGCAGGTTTAGAGCAATTGAGAGCGGTAGCGGCATCGCGGCAGTAGATTCATAGAAACTTGTAAAACAAGTGCGGCCTGATGATAGATGGTCAAATGATTATTGTTTGCAAACAATATTATCTCCAATAGATAAGCTGTTTACTTTGGACTCCAGCTCCTCTGGGTGGAACGGAGTCTAATTTATCAAGGCACAGCGGTTCAATGCAGATGCCTCATGCCCCAGCTGTGGAAAAACTCTTACATTAAGAATAGTACTTGGAACCACAGTGAAGTTCAGCTCTAACTCACTTTTACAGATGGTTTCTATATTGCAAAGAATATTAGCTGTTTCCTGGTTGTGCTTTTCTTTTTTTTTTTCCTTTAAACCCCAAACACTTTGTTGTAAGAGAGTTAAAAGACAAACTCCTGAAGCTCACAGTAGACATGTGCCTGTTTGTTTTGTAGTTGTTTCCGTGCCTCGTGTTAGTCTGGAGCTTTGGGCTTTCAATTTGGATAATCTGGCGCTATGCATCCAGCCCCTGGGCGCTTCCAGGCACTGCTCCTCATCGCTGCCACCAGCCTTGTCACTGTCACCAGCACAGGTAAGGCCTCACCAAGCTGGGGACTTGGAGTTTTTGGGGTTGGGCTCAAACTTTGGAACAAACAACGCTTGGCAGCGCATTTCAAAGTGGCCAGCTTTACTGGATATTGTCAATAAGCTGCTTTAAGGAAGCATAGAGCACTGAAACACAGCCTTACAGTCAATATGACTTTGCTTGTGAAAACTTGGCTCAGGACAAGCACCAGAACATGGAAAACTCTGGGATACGTGGGTTTGTTCCTTGGGATCTCCATGGATTCAGCTGGACGCCGGTTCTGCTGCACGCAGTGCATCTTGTGTTCCCAGGGGCTGGGAGGGGTTTGGGTTTTCAGGGGGAGAGGGGAATCAGCCCTTTGAAATCCGAAAGCTGATGCGTGGCTGCACTTGGAACAGCTCTGGTGTTAAAAAAAAGAAGAGGCATGGTTTTAATTGACACATCTGCTCTGTGTAGTCAGCTTGTCTTAACGTAACCACACAAAAAAGAAGCTTTTACTACTTTTAGCACTTCATAGCCAATCGTTATGAGCAAATGGGATAAATTTTATTTTTCAAGCAGTCATAGGAGATAAATTCCAGCTGCAGGGTCACTGCTACCAATTTTGCCTTTTACGCGAAGTGCAGCGTTGGTGTCAGAAGTGAGGGCAGGGGCGAAGATGAAAGTAGCAGTATGATTTCATAATAATTGGTGGCAAGCAAACTGAAAGGTCAGTGCTTCCCTCTTATCCCTGGAAATTCAAACTGAACTAATAGGAAAAACAGTTTTCTAATTAAAAGCTAAAAATGGACATCTGGAGTCCTGCGAAATGCTTGGATACCATTTTTATGGATTTCATCTTTTTTTGTTAAGTGAAGCCACACTTTAATTTCCAGTTTTATTTTATGTTTATGCAGATAGTTTATGGTTCAGTTAAAAATGTGCAGTCTCTCATCTGAAACTCATAACCAGAGCTGGGATGGACTGACTTGAGAAGAAAAGCATGAACCCAGGGCCCCACCTATAAGAAAACTGTCTCTGACTTGGATGTCATTTAATATCATCTTGACCCGTACTATCTGGAATTCCTTAAGATCCTTTACAAAATAGAAGTTGTTTTTCCCTGCCAATGTGTCTATTTTTAATTTAGTTTTTTCTCCTAATTTATATTGCTAACCAATTAAATATTACTGGTGTTAATTGCCTTTTCTCTTGCTTCCTTCATGCAAAATCTTTAGTGGAGAATTCAATAGAAAACAAATGGAAATACTTCCCAATGTTTCATTGGCCAGGATAGGAAAAAATCTCTTCCAACAAGCAGGAATTTTCTTTTGGCAAATAAATGGATTCTCATAACCAAGTTCTGTGGAATTGAACCTTTTATTTATTAGCAGCTCTTCCTGTTTCTGTTCATCTTTACTCAGTAAAGATAATGGATGCCCAATTCATCATCCTTGTCCTGATGAAGTCCATGTATTTGGAATTAGCAAGAGCCTTTGCTGTTCGTCCAGCTTTTTTTTATCCGGCTATTTTTAATTAGTTCTGCAGACTCGGAGACGGTTCTGTGTAAATACCTGGCAGGCTCCTGCCATTTCTAGCATTTTACAAGTCACGTCCGGGCCTGCTTCATATGGGACAGATCAGCTACAGCTGCGTGTTCCTGTGCTCCATCTCTTCAGGTGATGGCTGCTGTTTTCCTCTGGATAAATCCACTGGGATTGCAATTTTTGCTGGCCCTGGCAAGTGTGATGCCTGTGCCTTGTGCTCACTTGGGGATGTACCTCCCCCTTACTGCACCCACCTCCATTTAATTGTTGTTACCCCCTTTGTGGGGTTTGAATCTTGAAGTTTTCCCAGCACGTGAGAGCGAGCAGGAATCTCTCCTGAGTTCCTCTTGCCAAGGAAAAGGCAACACTTGCTTGAGTATCACTCAGAGTTTAGAGTCCCTTTATATGGTGAGTCTTTCCTTCCAGTCAACACATTGTTAACCTGATCACCTGTGTCCATGCAAAATTCTGGTCTCTAACTCACTATATGTATGTTTTTCCTTTTAGATCTAACTCCCCGTTTTATTTCTGAGCCCTCATCTACTGTCCAGAAGCCTGGTGAGCCCGTCCAGCTCCGCTGCTCTGCCGAGCCCTCCTCAGCTCACATTTCCTGGCTGTTCAATGGGGAGCCTCTGAAGAGCAGGGTGGGAGAGGTGGAGATGCAGGCAGGATCTTTGACAATCGTGTCCCTGAGCCCAGCAAGGTGTGGGCGCTACCAGTGCGTGGCGAGCAGCGGCGTGGGCGCCGTGCTGAGCCGGCCGGCCTCCGTGTCCATGGCCAGTAAGTTCATCTGCCTTCCTGTTCTTTGCTCCCTGCCAGTCCTCAGCTGGCTTTATGGCTTGTCCTTTGACTTTTAGATCAAAATGTTCTGGGACAATATGATGGATTGGATGCTTCTTGCCTTTTTTTTAAATTGCGTCATCTGAGACTTGTCAGGAGATGCAGCCCTGGAGCAGATTCCCCAGAAAGCTTGTGGATCCCCATCCTTGGAGGCTTTTAAAGCCTCAGCTACACCAAACTATACCTGATGGATTTAGTGTTGGTGTCAGCCTCACTTTGAGTTGAAGGATCTCAAGGGTCTCCTTCAGCAAACACAAATGTTATTCAATGAAATAATAATTCATTTCCATGAATTGGCCTGAAAATACAAGATTCCCAAATGCTTCCCTTCACAAAGGATGTTGAAGGAGCAGCTGAGCTCCCACACCATTGTAGAAGTGTAAGAGTTGAGGAGAAATCTGTGGGAATTGTTGCCTGGGAAATAAGTGGGAGCTGCAGATTTTCATTTTCATTTGATTTGATCAAACCAGTATTGATGTTCTTCAGGTGGGGACAGTCTTCTCACCTCTTAGGGACAGTTTCCCTTCTCTCATTGGTTCTTTCTCAGTTGCATTGGTTCTTCTGATCAGCCTTTGCCTTGATGCTTGATCTGTAAATTGTGTGACCTCCAGGGATTTGGAAGAGGAAGGACAATGTCTTCCACAGGGAAAGGACAGTGCAGTGCTGAGAATGGGAGTACAATATTCCTGCACGAGTATGGTTTGTCTGCCTGGGATCTGTGGGCTGTCTGAATCAGGTCTTTGTCAAGCAGGGTTTGAGTGATTTCCCTGGAAGGGTCCCTCATCTATGGAGCATGTCCAAAATCCCCTTGGGAGGAAAATCTCTTATAAGTGTTTTGGTAAAGTACTGACCCATGGCCAGTCCCTCTCAAGAGAGCTCCAAGGGTGGCCAACATAAGAAAACTTCACAGCCTCAAAGAAGTTTGAACATGGAGGGAGTAGAAGAGCAGCTTTCACACTTCCCTCCTGCCTTGGAGGTTTGGCAGCACACAGGAGGGTGCTGGGAGCTCTCTGCCTGCCTCATTATCATCCCAGAAAGACAATTCCATGTTTTTATGGATGGGTTTCCTGCTGTCAGTGTGAATTGTCTTCTGTAGTGCCCGCAGAGTGTGTGAGGAGTCCTGCAGCCTTTCCAGTGTCTCTGCTGGCTTTTCTGGGAGCAGTTGAGGGGGATATAGAAATTATTTTTTTCTCCTCACTCTTCCCAGGTAAAAGCTTTTTGTAGTAAGGAAGTGGTTAAGGAGGGTTTATGGTGTTATGGGCTGCAGGATAGACCAGGCCTGTTGATGTGAATGTCCTAAAGCTACAGCAGAAAAGATAATCAGCATGAAACCAACTGTATTGTGAACACAAACACTGAGCTTGCTGCCCTTCCCCTCTCCCAGGCCGTGGCTGCTCATACCCTGTTCCAACTCTCTCCAGGTTTAGGTGACTTTGATGCCTTGGGGACGGCTGTTGTTGAAGCAGAGGAAGGAGGCACAGCTCTCATCAGGTGCCAGGTGCCAGAAAGTCACCCCAAAGCACAGGTTCGCTTCCAAGTGCGGGGGAAGTGGCTGGAACAATCAACAGGTGAGGTGTTTTGTGCAATGTAAGTACCCAACAAAACTTGCCTGGAGTTTTTTATTTGAACCTAAAGGAAAAACACTCCTCTGGAAAGTTGTAGAACTTCCTGTTCAAATTACTTTATCTAAACCTACCCTTGGAAATTAGTCTCCTTTGCATGGGGTTTTCTTTTTGATTCTGTATTTAGAATAAATAGATATAGCTGACAAATTAATTTAAAAATTACAAAAAAGGAAGACACATCTTTTGAAACTAAATTAAATTTAATCCTCTTTTCACCTTCCCCTCTTGTTCAGACAACTACCTAATTCTTCCATCTGGAAACCTGCAAATTTTGAATGTATCTTTAGAAGACAAAGGGTCCTACAGGTGTGCAGCATACAACCCAGTTACTCACGACCTCAGAGTAGAACTCACTGCACGGAAGCTCACAGTCACACGTGAGTATTGAGTTCAACTTTCCAGAATTAATACAGCTCAAACAGAATAAATAACATCCCTTTTAGCAAGGGCCTATCAGTGCCTCCAACACCATGGTATGCAAGATTTCTCCTGCATTCTTTGCACATTCAGTTCTTATTTCCCCTCACTGTGGAAGAGCAGCATGGCTTTTCAAATCCCAGGCAGTCACCTTTGGAAAGGGAACACTGCTAATACTTCTGTCCCCAAATCTCTTTTGGAGCAGGACTTCTGGAAGTGTTACAACATCATGCTCAGTCCCTAGTGCAGTGTTTGAAAGACATGGAGGAATTCAGAGAATGGGATGGGAGGATGTGGTTTAAAAGCTTGGTTGGTTCCCCTGCAAGGAAAAGCTAAGAGAATTGGGATAGTTCAGCCTGTAAAATAGAAGGTTTAGGGGTGACCTAATTGTGATCTTCCAGTATTGAAGGGAGCCTACAAGAAAAATGGAGGGAGAGGGCCTGGAGTGACAGGACAGGGTGGAATGGCACTGATGGAGAGTAGGTTTTGATTAGATACTGGGTCCCTGTGAGGGTGGTGAGACTCTGAGTCTCTCTGCCAAGAGAAGCTGTGGCTGTCCCATCCCTGGAAGTGTTCAAGGCCAGGATGGACAGGGCTTGGAACAACCCAGTCGAGTGGAAGGTGACCAGGCACGAGAGGGCCTGGAGTGACATGTACAGGGGGAAATGGCACTGATGGAGAGTTTAGATTAGATATTGGGTCCCTGTGAGGGTGATGAGGCCCTGTGAGTCTCTCTGCCAAGAGAAACTGTGGCTGTCCCATCCCTGGAAGTGTTCAAGGCCAGGATGGACAGGGCTTGGAACAACCCAGTCTAGAGGAAGGTGCCCAGAAGCCCAAACCATTCTGTGATTCTATTCCACGATTCATCTCCTTTCCTGCAGGCCCTTCTTCAGGTGGCTCCCACATCCTCCACCCGCTGGCTGCCCAGAGCCTGGCAGTGCCCCAGCACAGCGCCCTGACCCTGGAGTGTGTGGTCAGCGGGGCAGCTCCAGCCCCCACGCGCTGGGTGAAGGACGGCCGGGACGCGCTGAGGACGGGCAGGTGGAGGCTGCTGCACTCCCACCTGGTCACCGACAGGCTGGAGCCATCTGATGCTGGGAATTACTCCTGCCTGCTGGGAAGTGACTCTGGAGCAGTGAAATATGTTAACTATTCGCTTACTGTACTTGGTAAGAATTAAAGATATTTTCACATCCAGGCAACAAATATACCCTTCGTATACCTGCTAGTTTTGGCATCTGCTTCCAAACAGTCTTGCATTCTTGCTCAACCTTAAGCATATTAAAATAAAGAATACAGATCTCTTTATAATGACTGTGTCCCATCATTTCTCCCAAGTTAAAACCTGTAATTATTTATCTCTTCAAGCCATTTGCAGTCTGAAATAATGAAGTAGTGAAGGATAACAAACTCCAGGGAAAGAACTGATCCATTTATTTTCCTACAGAGTGCCAGTGTCAGTAATGTGCCAGGGACCAGATTTGCTTCTTTTGAGGTTCTATGTGAACAAAAACTGGTGAGGGAAGGTGATATGTTTGGATGAAAACATCAACAAAAGCAAAAGAAACATACTCATAAATTTGGCCTCTTTTGTTTGGCTGCTAGTTATTCCTCACCTCCCCTTTCCATTGTAGCAGATTTTCCTAGTATTTGAATTTTTCTGCATTTGTGACAGATTTTGTTTGGGTTTTAAAATGTGTGTGTTTGAGTTACTCAGAAAACAGGGTGTTGATGCACAACACACCTCTTCTTGGGGGATGTCACTAATTAATTGTTTTGAAAATAGAAGTCTTTTATTTACAAGATTACTGCAAACATGTGGCTGTTGAAATAAAAGGGAGAACCCATTCAAATAAGCCCATGTGTGGGAAAACCAGCTTCGGGCTGTGCAGCCTGTGGTACTTGTTCAGCCTTTGGATGTGATAAGCCTGTGTAATGTTTTACAGCAGTTTTTTCAGGATTTAGCTTAAGTCATTTATGCGGAATCGTTTCCCTTTGCAGAGCCTGCCTCGCTCTCCAGGGGGCTGCAGGACCAGACCGTGGCTGTGGGGGCGAGCGTCCATTTGTGGTGCGAGGCCGGGGGCAGCCCCGCTCCCGCCCTCACCTGGCTGCACAACGCGGCTCCTCTCGGGCCCTCCCCGCGGCACCTCCTCACAGGAAACCACCTGAGCATCTGCGGGGTCACCCTGGCGGACTCTGGCGTGTACCAGTGTGTGGGAAACAATGGGATTGGGTTTGTGCAGTCCACGGGGAGGCTCCGGGTCCAGCCAGGTAGGAGCACTTGCAGCCCTCGAGAGCTCACATTAAGCATTTATACTTTAACCTTTATTCTGTTGTGGTATTTTTTTTCCCCTAGATTATGTATTAATTTGTTTCTGATCACTAATCTTACAAAGAAGGTGCTTTCAGCTGGACTTTAAGAGATGCAGGGATTTCTGGGGTAGTGTGGCTACTTGATACTTAAAACCTGGATTATCAGATGCAATCAAATCAGCTTATGATTGGACTTGATGGGATTTATTCTTAAATGGAATCAGGATCCTGTTGTGCTGGGTGAGCTGGTACTCTTAGTAGTATTGGCTGCTGAGTAGTTAAGCCTGTTCCATAATCAAGTTTACACAACAATCATCAGGTTTGGGGTTAATGCACACTTCCCCTCTATCAGATTGGCAGGATCAGGTTCCAGCAGTCTTTTTGATCTCTTTTCTCTCTAAGATACCTTTTAATACCCAGAGAAGTTGATTTCTGCTGGCACAAGGATGCTGGCAAGGCTGTTGCTGTCGCCATTCTCTGCCTGTCGTGCATAGCTGAAGCTTTGACCAGTCATGGTTGGTGTGAGCTGTGCAGAGCCTGGCTGAGCAGAGATTTCGTGGTCTCTGTGTGTGTGGAGTGGACTAAGCCAGTCTTGCCTGTGCTGTGTTCCTCACTGACAGTCAAGTCCTTGTCATTTGGAGAATTTAAAGCGCAGTTTGAGTGTAGGTTTTTATCAGCCTTCTCTGAGGTGGAGTCTGTGCTGATCTCTTCAGTCTGGATGGGAAGTCTAGAGGTGCTTTGTAGAGAAGGATTATTTGTTAAAGTGTGATGTTTTAAATTGTATTGACTTGTGCTGGCATTAAGTGTCATATCCCTTAGTTGAATTCATCCTTTGGTTGTGTTTCCCCCAGACAAAGACTCCGTCCCCATCATCACCTCCTCCCCAGCCAACACCACCGTGGTGGCCGGTGGGGATGTGACCCTGTCCTGCAACGCCACGGGCCTGCCCGCTCCTGTGATCCGCTGGTACGACAGCAGAGGCCTCGAGATCAGCCAGGAGCTCCCCGCTGGAGCACAG